AACTGCTGCCACGTTTTCTCCCCGCGGGCCACGTCAGTGTCGTAAATCCACTCCAATGCCGGTCCACGTAACAGTGTCGCTGCGAGCCGAATCCTTGCTGTCGAGAGACTAAGTAATTAACAGTAGAAATGTGGGGCCTAGGCTTAGTAGCCTAGGCCCTAACTTAAGTGTCGAGCGGGTTTTCACCTAGGGTGAGTGTCGAGTGAGTTGAGAGAGGAAAATTGGAGAATGTGTGTCTTCACTATAGTTTCGAAGTACATATAGCAAAGGAAACACATAAGGTGCACCACCAAACAAAGTTTAAATATCTACACTAACTACAGCTACAGGCAGTTACAAATATATATATTGTGACACTCCCCCATAACTGCCTGCAGCAGGAGTATGTGTAGAATACAACCTGCAGGTGTACACATGCAAAATAAATAGCAAGCAACAGCAGGTAATGCAGGCGGGCTGACACTAAGTGGTCACCCCCTCCATCTCCTCACCCTCCTCCTTCCCCTCCCCCACACTGCTGCAGGAGCAGCAGAGAAGGGGGGGAAGAGAGGAGAGGTGGAGGGACGGCTACATGTTGCCTCACACCCGCCACCCCGGTACCACTCCCCCTGCTCCCCCACATCCTCACACCTTCTCCCCCCAGAAGCAGCTGCAGCGGTGGGACTGAAAGAAGGAGGAGGGGAAGGGAGAGAGGTGACGCCACACTCCAACACCCTCCACCCCCATACCCTCCTCCCCGCGGCTGCAGGGAGACAAAGGAGGAGGGGGGTGGGAAGGAAGAAAGCCGCAGAGCGGCGAAAAGGTGTCGGTGCAGTGGTGTCAGGGGCGGCTTCAGGGAGTGCAGGGGCGGAAAGGCCCGTCGCGGGCCAGTGCCACGGGGCGCACGACGGGTAGAATAGAAGGGCCCGATCGTGTGCCTCGGGGCGCACGACGAGCAGGGCACCATCGTGTGCCACGGGGCGCACGATGGGCAGACGAAGGGCACCGTCGCGTGCCACGGGGCGCGCGACGGGCAGGGAAGGAGTCACTCGCCCGTGGGCGGGACAATGTAAAAATAAAATCGTCACGCGCCCTAGGCGCGCGACCGGAAAACCTTAGCAGCGGAAGTGTAAAGTGGGCCCACAGGCCAGGACGAACCTAGCTCCGATAACATGTCGAGAGACTAAGTAATTAACAGTAGAAAGGTGGGGCCTAGGCTTAGTAGCCTAGGCCCTAACTTAAGTGTCGAGCGGGTTTTCACCTAGGGTGAGTGTCGAGTGAGTTGAGAGAGGAAAATTGGAGAATGTGTGTCTTCACTATAGTTTCGAAGTACATATAGCAAAGGAAACACATAAGGTGCACCACCAAACAAAGTTTAAATATCTACACTAACTACAGCTACAGGCAGTTACAAATATATATATTGTGACACTTGCTGCGTCGTGTGTCGGGGTCGAACAGCCAATGGCCTCGAAGTAAATTTCGAGGGTTGCCACGAATCGTCGAACGTCGGATCCTTTCGCGCTGGGATCGAACGCTTCAGGGAGCCTCGGTCGTGTTGCTTCGAGGTTCGGCGACAGTGGTGCCATCGGTCCGTAAAATGCCGGTGTCACCACTGCTGTGGGTGTTGTTGCTGCTACGTTCGCTGCTGCATTCGCTGCTGCTGCGGTGGCAATTCCTGGTTGGTGTGTCAGAAGGGCCTCGAGTCGTCGTAGCGCCGCCTGCGTCTGCTCCATGTCGGTGCGGAGGCTCTCGATGTCGCTCGTGGTCACATAGTTGTCGCCTTGGCCCTCCATGCCTGACATTGCGCGTTCGAAAAAACCGAAACGAGGAGGAGCGAAAAACACGGAACCGGTCTTACGTACCCGAATATCGGTGTTTATCAGCATCGCCCCCGCGGTTTTTGAAGACTCGGTTTTAGCGGTCGAAAAAACTTTCGCGTATAAACGGCTCTGATTACCAAGTGTGAGGATCTAGGATCGAGCTCAGAAAAGAGAATGTGAATCGAATGATCACCTGGGTACAACACGAGGCTATATATAGGCTCGACACAAGGCCCCGTAACCAGGTGTTACACGAAGGTTCTGAGGGTCGCGAAGCGTCCCGAACAGAGCCTTCTCGAATTCGGTAGAAGGCAATTCGATGGCAACCAAAAATCCCAGAATTCGGTGCACTCAACCTAGCTCGGTGCTATAACTATAATAAAGTATAGGAAAGCACCTAGCCTACGAAATCAAGCAATTCATGCATGCATATAATTATCCTATGCTAGAAATAGCATAATAGAGTTAAGGCAAGCAAACATAGCTGGAATAAGCCGTCGTACTCTCACAAGTCCGTAGAGCCGAGTGGCCCGTATCAAGAGCTAGTGGGCTGCCTCATGTACCTGATGACCTGCACTCGTCCTGACATTGCGTACCCTCTTGGCCTTCTAGCACGCTACGTGGCTCCTGGTAGGAACCGAAAGGTGCACTCTGATGCTGCAAAGAGGGTACTGCGTTACTTGTGTAGTACATTGGGCATGGGGCTCGTGCTTGGAGGGCGGGGTCCAGTTTTCCTCACTGGACACTCAGACGCTTCATGGGTTGACGACCTAGCTATGCAGCGGTCGTCTCAGGGTTACACGTTTAGCCTTGGATCCGGCTCTGTTTCTTGGCGGTCTACCCGCTCGTCTTCTGTTCTCAGCTCCAGATGTGAGGCTGAGATGTACGCGGGAGCTATGGCTGCACAGGAGTTACGCTAGCTCACCTACCTGCTGACCGGCTTGGGAGAGCGGCCTCGTTCTCCTCCAGTTCTGTACGTAGACAACAAGGCTACAATTGCCTTGTGTCAGGAGCACAGACTAGAGCACAGAACGAAGCACATCGCTCTGCATTACTTCCTTGCTCAAGAGTTGCAGCAGCGTGGTCAGCTTTGTCTTGCTTACGTGGCCACTCGGGCCAACACTGCTGATATATTCACCAAGGCACCATCAGCGCTTCTGTACTGTGTTGGGCCTTGTGCATGCTTTGCATCACTTGCTGACTGCTTGACTTTGTTTGTACTATGACCTATATATATATCTGCATGCTTACTCTTGCTAGGTAGTGATCACTTTATTATTTGATATATTTTATATAGCTCTGCATGTGGACCGGCCTTGTGGCCATTTGCTTGTGCTCAGAGTGTGTGGTGACTTCGTGATCCACCCTGAGCTTGCTTTTGCTTTGTTCTTCTCTTGACTGGTCTTGTGACCATTGTTTGCTTTGGCTATCCCCAACTTCGCTTATGGGGGTGTGTCAAAATATATGTGTATAAAGTTGTTTAGGCTACATAGGGGCTAGCCTTAGGAGGTATAGTTTTCACCTCGACATTCTTCTTTGTACCCCATCCAAGACCCAATCACTCACCTTTCACCTAATTCTCTTAACATTGGAAGATGTGAATTCAAAGCGGGACAAGGTGCTTTCGGAGCAGCAGGCGAGGTGCCTGTACTGCCCCTCGAACACTGCAAGTTTTGAGACGTCTCAAAAGCACGGCTAGCTGGATGTACTGCCCCCCCAACACTGCACGCGCACAAGTGTGATGAGGGAATGAAAGGGGGGAGCTTAGCCAGCACGGCCAACACCACCACCCACCATGCCCCTCCCACTCCCTTCACATCCAACGTCCCTTCCCCATCCCCACGGCACTTACAATCATGGTGAGCTTGGCCAGCACGGCCACCACCACCATGCCCATGCCCAGCTGCAGCGTTGTCGGCCGCGGCTCTGCTGCCTGTTGCACCACCCGCGACGCCACGCCTCGCGCCATCACGGCCTTCACAGATTTCCCTGCCTTCCTTGCCTTGCTTATGCCGCACCTCGTGCATTGCCCACTCCTCGCACTCACTAGCCCACGCTCGGCCTAGCAAAAGGTCACAAAATCCGGACTCGTTGCCTAGCAAGAAAGTTCACGAGATTTGGACTTCTCACAGCAAGCCAAGGGTCTAGTCAAAAGCGTTTTTCGCACACGTTGCCCCGCGCTCGGCCTGGCAGTCGCCACGGATCAGCGGGGGAGGGACGGACGCAGTTGCGATGACTCATCGGAAGGATGAAGGTGCAGGCGGAACGGCAGATGCGGCAACGGCAGGGAGTCAACGGAGACGCATTTATCCACCTATTTCCCCCCCAACCCACCTTTGCCTTCTTCCTACCTTTGTCTTCTTCCCACCTTTGTCTTCTTGCCTTCCCTCGGTTCTCCTTCCCCCTGCCGCTGCCGCTCAACAAGCCTGGTGGCGCGGAAAAGAAGGTTTTGGGAAGGATCGGCGGTTGGGAGGAACGAGAAGAGGAGAGGCGAGTGGCGCGGGGAGGATAGCTGCGAGGGGACGAGAGGGGGGTGAGGGAGGAACGATGCGATAAGCGATGTGGCATGGGTGATGAGAGAAACGGCAGTTGCGGCGGGCCTTGTGGTGATGCAACGAGGTGTGTTGGGTGGCACTGCACACAAAGAGCGGATCGCGCTAGTGCGGAGATAGGACAGTGCGAAAATAGGGCGAAGAGCGCGGAGGAAAACAGAAGCGGTGCGGGAACTGGGGCTTGGGCAAGAGAGCAGAGACGGGAGAGAATCAAGGGCGGCGCGGGAAGTGGGTCAAGGGCAGTATACAGGGCTGCACGTTTGGTATTTTTGTGTGGGAAAATTGGATCCTGTTCGGTTTTATGACTGATATTTCCTTTGGAGTGTAGTCAAGACTTTAAACGAATCTGATTCATTCGAGTACTCTTTAAACATTCGAATTGTGCGCGACGCGGCCGGTGTGAACAAACCTTCCACCTCACGCTCCTTCACTTCGACTCTCATCACAGCCTCTTCCATTGAACAATGCTTTTCTCAAAACTAGATAAACTCGAGTTCCGTGACTCTTGTCGCGAGGCGGCCTGGTTCATGGAGTGAAGTCCGCAGAATAGGAGCCCTTTTTTTTTTTCCAATCGAAGAGGCGAACAGCACGCGCGAGGTTACGGTCCTTGAGAAGGTGTCTTGTAGGAGTTTACGAGCCGCAAAAGATGCCCGGCGCGACGCTGACGGACACGCGTCCGTCGATGGACGGCTTGCTCCACGGCGTCGCCAGCGGCGGTGATGGCGACCCTCCGGTGGCGATTGCGACCTTTGAGGTTTTCCGAAAGACTCTCACCGGTGCAGACGACCGCCGCGATACGGCGAGTGAGATCGCCGGATCGCCGACGATCACCGGCGGCGACGGCGCTTCACCAGAGAATGAGGCGCGCTGTGAGTCGACGCCAGCGGCAGCGGGAAGACCCGCCGATGCCGTTGCAGACGGTATGGAACCTGATAATGCTGCAGAAGCGGCAGGATCAGCGGAAGGAGCAGGAGTAGCACCAGCAGCAGCAGCAGAAGCACCAGCAGAATCATCAGCGGAAGCATCAGAAGCAGCACCAGTGGCAGCAGCAGCAGCGACGGGCGTTGGCTTGGCGGCGGGTGAGTCGGCTGAGCGGCGCGACGGCGGTTCAGGCGAGGGGATTGGCGGCTGGTGGGGCAGGCGAGCCGCAGAGAGCGGCGAGTCGGCGGGGAAGGATTCGTGCAACGATTCCGACGATTCGGCGGCGAGCGACTGGAACGGCTGGCGAGCGGAGAAGGCGGCGACGGATGGCGAGCACGTGCCGTATGATGGCGAAAAGGTGGGGACTGGTGGTGAAAAGGCGGCGACAGATGGCGCAAAGGAAGGGAACGGTAGCGAAGAGAAGGCGGCAGATGGCGAAAAGGAAGGGAACAGTGGCGAAAAGAAGGCGGCAGATGGCGAAAAGGAAGGGAACAGTGGCGAAAAGGTGGGGAAAGGTGGCGAAGGGGCGGCGACGGGAGGAGGTGCGGCGAGGCGACAGAGGAAGACGGCGGAGGCTGCTGCAGCCGCCATGAAGCGGAAGGTACGGCGTCGGGGAATGGCTGAGACGATGAGGCGAATGAAACTCTCCGGTTCGATTCAACGGCGACAACGAAGCTGTCGCGTCGCAACTGACGTCGCCCTACCGCACTCCCGTTTTCCCCGCACGTCTCTGTCGCCTCGGCTGACCCTTTCGCGTGTCTCTGTCGCAGGAGGATCGCGGGCGTCGCAGAGAATCAGCTGACCTCCTGGCGACGTCGCAACGACTTCTTCGCGGTTAGTGCAGAGAATGCACGCCTATCACGCCCCCTTGACGCACACACATGCACATGCACATGCACATGCACATGCACGTGCACATGCACATGCACGTGCACATGCACATGCACATGCACGCAGAAGCAATATCGCCTTGCCATGCCGTGCCACTCTATTCGCATCCAGCTACTGCCATGCCGTGCCATTCCAATCCCTCCTGATCACTGCCCCGCCCCGCCCCGCCCTGCTCTGCCTGCTCTGCCCCGCCCCGCCCTGCGGCCCTACCCTGCCCTGCCCTGCCCTGCCCTGCCCTGCCCTGCCCTGCCCTGCCCTGCCCTGCCCTGCCCTGCCCTGCCCTGCCCTGCCCTGCCCTGCCCTGCCCTGCCCTGCCCTGCCCTGCCCCGCCCTCCCCTGGCCCGCCGTCCACCATGCACCAGAGAGCAGTGTGAAGTTCACGCGGCCACGCCTGGCAGCCATCTCGCTTGGCGGCTTCTTCACCTCCATGCGCGCGCGCATGGCGCTGCTGGATGCGCGCATGCCGCGGTGAGTCATGGATGGGGATAGGTGGGAGTTGGGGGTTGGGGGATGGGGGAAGGGGGATGGGGATGGGGATAGGCGGCTTCTTCACCACCGTACGCGCGCAGGGCGCTGCTGGATACAAGCATGCGCGGTAGGTGGGGGATGGGTGCACGCAATGTACGTGGGTGATGGGTGGTTCGGGGGATGGGTGACGGGATACGTGATGATATGGATGATAAGGTATGGGCGGTGGCCAATTGGTGAGGGGGGATGGGCGGTGGGCAATTGGTGAGGGGGGATGGGCGGTGGGCAATTGGTGAGGGGGGATGGGCGGTGGGCAATTGGTGAGGGGGGATGGGCGGTGGGCAATTGGTGAGGGGGGATGGGCGGTGGGCAATTGGTGAGGGGGGATGGGCGGTGGGCAATTGGTGAGGGGGGATGGGCGGTGGGCAATTGGTGAGGGGGGATGGGCGGTGGGCAAAAGGTGAGGGGGGATGGGCGGTGGGCAATTGGTGAGGGGGGATGGGCGGTGGGCAATTGGTGAGGGGGGATGGGCGGTGGGCAATAGGTGAGGGGGGATGGGCGGTGGGCAATAGGTGAGGGGGGATGGGCGGTGGGCAATAGGTGAGGGGGGATGGGCGGTGGGCAATAGGTGAGGGGGGATGGGCGGTGGGCAATAGGTGAGGGGGGATGGGCTCACATGCTGCCTTGTCTTGCCTTCTGCCGCGTCCTCTGCAACCTCCCCCATGCCCATTCCCCCCGTTCTCCCTGCAACCTCTGACTGCTGTCTGATGCTATTGCTGGGCTTTGAGCAGCCTCGAACCTCATTCCGGGTGGGCCATGTGGTGCTAATGCATCTCACTGTGCGTTGTGTTTTCTACGTGTCCCCATTCCCTACCCTCGCCCTGCATGCATCGGACAGAGAAACGGAAGAGGAGGACGAGGAAGATGAGATGGATGACGAGGATGATGACGTGGACGGTGAGGATGATGACGTGGACGGAGAGGATGAGGACGTGGGCGGAGAGGCGGAGGAGGAGGATGAGAAGCCCAAGGCAGGGACGAGCGGGCGAGGAGAAGGGGAGAATGCCAGGGGCGGCAGTGTCAGTGGCGATGCTGCTGCTGTGTCGAGTGGTCTGATCGCCGAAATGCTGCACCGCTTCGCACAGGAGGAGGAGGAAGGCGATGAGGAGGATGATGAGCTTATCGTGCTTGACTGCTCCCCTCCTGCTGCCGCTGCCACTGCGACAGCAGGAGGGGCAGCAGGAGCGGCAGCAGGAAAAGATGCAGATGAGAAGGGAAAGGGGGAGGAGAAGGGAGAGGTGGAAGGCGACTGTGCTGTGAAGCAAGGGGCCCAGGCAGGAAGGGATGCGCGGATGAACCGTGGAGAATACGAGGCTAGGGACGACGACACGATGAGGGCCATGTGGGAACAGGGTGGGGAGGGAGGGAAGAGAGAGAAGGGGGGAACGGGGGAGAAGGGGGATAAGGGAGAAAAGGGGGAGAAGGGGGATAAGGGAGAGAAGGGGGAGAAGGGGGATAAGGGAGAAAAGGGAGAGAAGGGAGACAAAGGGGGAACGGAGGAGAATCGGGACAAGGGAGAGACGGGCAGTGTAATGAAGTGCCCAGGGAAGGGATGTGGCACTGGCGAGGGCAGGGGTAGGGACGGGCCTGGGAGGATCAAGGAGCGAGAGAAGGTGTGTGGGCGAGCGCATGTGGGGAGTGCAGGGACGGCAGTGGACTCTAGCGCTGGTGTTGCAACGAGGGAGGCAGCTGCTGGGGCGTTTAGTGGGAGAGGGGCAGTGGAGGGAGAGAATACAGGCAGTGCAGGGCGAGGACAGGAAGGGGAGGAAGGGGCACGCAAGGCAGGGGCGGTGACAGCAGGGCAGAAACCAGATGCGGGCGGTGATGGGGGGAAACTGGGAGGTTCAGAGGTGGGGAAGCAGGGGGCGGCTGATGGGGAAAATCAGGGGGACGCAGAGGGGGGGAAGCTGGGGAGCGCAGAAAGGGGGAAACAGGGGGAAGCAAGGGGGGTAAAGCAGGGGGGAGACGTGCGGTGGTGGGTGGGGGCGCGTAAGGCAGCAGGAGTGGGGCCCAAGTCGCTGAGTGAGTGGGCCAAGGGGCGCGGGGGAGGGGCGGATACGCAAGGGGGGAAGGGGGCAAGTGCAGGAAGGGGCGCAGGTGGGGCTGCTGCTGCTGGTGCTGGTGTTAATGTTGCTGCTGCTGCTGGTGATGGTGGTGTTGGTGGTGCTGCTGCTGGTGATGGTGGTGTTGGTGGTGCTGCTGCTGGTGATGGTGGTGTTGGTGGTGGTGCTGCTGGTGATGGTGGTGTTGGTGGTGCTGCTGCTGGTGATGGTGGTGTTGGTGGTGCTGCTGCTGGTGATGGTGGTGTTGGTGGTGCTACTGCTGGTGCTGGTGCTGGTGCTGCAGCTGCTACAACTTCTGCTGCTGCTTCTGCTGACGACGTTACTATTGCTGCTGCTGTTGCCGGTGCTGCCGGTGCTGCCGGTGTTGCCGGTGCTGCCGGTGCTGCCGGTGCTGCCGGTGCTGCCGGTGCTGCCGGTGCTGCCGCTGGAGGTATAGGTAATCAAAGCGGGGATACAGGCAAGGGATCTTGTGGGGTGAGAGCAGCTGGGCGGAGATTCATTGACGACGCTGCTATGGAAGATGGGGGGGAGGATGAGGAGGAGAGAGGAGGGAATGATGATGAGGAGGAGGATAGGGGTAGAGCTTTGGGGGAGAATGGGCGAGATGCGAATTGGGACCGGATGGATATAGAGGATCTAGGAGAAGATAACAGTGAGGGTGAGAGTGAGGGCAACGAAGATGCTTGTAACGAGGACGAAGGAGAGGGGGAGGTTGACAAGGGGGTGGGAGATGAGGAAGAGGGGGAAGGAGAGGAAGAGAAGGAAGAGGGGGAAGAGGGGGAAGAGGGGGAGGAGGGGGAAGAAGGGGAGGATGAGGAAGAGGAAGGGTCAGATGGTGCGTTGGAGCGAGCGGCGCTACACAGGCAGTGGGAGGAGGAGGAGGATGAGCGCGTGCAGGGGGCGGTGATGGGCGGAGTGCAGGGGGGCTGGGCGCATGTGCGCATGGGCAGGCGGAACCAGGGTGGGGGGGAGCGGGGGAGCAGGGGGGTGGGTCTGATGGGGGATGGGGAGGAGGAGGAAGAGGAAGAGGAGGAGGCGGAGGAGGAAACGGGGGAGGATGGAGGGTTGAGGAAAGGCGGAGTGAGGAAGAGGAAGAGTGGAGAGAGTGGGAAGGGAGAGGGAGGGAAAGCGAAGGGGGCAGGTGGTGGGGAGTGGGGGTTACTGGCAAAGAAAGTGAGAATGCTGAAAGAGAGGGCGGGGGGAGGAGGGGAAAATATTGTTGGAGAGGGGAATGGAATGGAGCAGGATGGCAATTCGTGTGGCGCAACTGAGAGTGCGGAGAGGAAGAGCAGAGGAGAGGGAGAAGAGGCGGACGATTACTTTCCAAGTGATGATGCTGAGAATGGCAGCATCAGCGACAGTGATGATAGCAACGGCGCAGGCAGTGGTGATGGTGATGGTGAGGGAGATAAAAGTGATGAGGAGGAGGATGGTGATGAGGGCAAGAGAGCATCGCAAGACCTGGCAGAGCAGATGCGAGCCAAGAGACGCGTGGAGGAGATGGTGAGTGGGGAAGATGGGAAAGGCGGTGAATGGGGCAGTGATGAGTTGGGGGGAGGTTGGGTGAGGGGCGACAGAGGTAGACGAGCAGTGGGAAGGAGGTGATAGTTTGACAGCAGCACTCCCAGTCTTCTCACCCCATCCTCTCCCTTGCTCTCCTCTCTTCCCCCCGCCTCCTTCCCACCCCGACAGCTCCACATTAAGGTGCGGGACACAATCTTTGGCAGGACACATGGTCCTTGGCAGGACACACGGTCCTTGGCAGGACACATGGTCCTTGGCAGGACACACGGTCCTTGGCAGGACACACGGTCCTTGGCAGGACACACGGTCCTTGGCAGGACACACGGTCCTTGGCAGGACACATGGTCCTTGGCAGTGGAGGTAGCAGGCAGAATGCTGGAGACACACAGTCGTTGCAGTGGTGGCAACGCCACCAGACCTCCCTCCCGTCACTTATCCTTTCTCCAGACATCCCCACTCTCCCCTTCCCCCCTCAGCACCACAGGCAGGTGGTGCACGAGCCACGGGGCAGGGGAGGCAGCACTTTCATTGCAAGGAGGTTCAATGCGCTTTTAGGGCAGTGGCAGCACTCTCATCCCCCTCACTCCATTCTCTCTTCCTCCCTCTCCTCAACTCCCCTTCCCCTCCTTAAATGGCAGCACCACAGTGGGGTGAGGGACACAGTGTTGGGGCAATGGAAGCAGCACTCGCAATCCTCTTAACCCATCCTCTCTCTCACTCGCCTGTTCTCCCTTTTCCCCCACCGCAGCATCACAGGGAGGTGCGGGACACAGTACTGGGGCAGTGGAGGCAGCACTCCCACCGCAACATCACAGTCGTCAGAGGGGTTGGATTACCCGCCGTGCACTCACGTTCCACTTCCTTACAGCCACACGGCCCTTCATTACAGTCACACGGCCCTCCCATACAATCACATGGCCCCCGCTTGCAAGCACACCGACCGTCAGTCAATTCCTCGTACATCCATTTCAACCGCACTGCACCTGCACCAGTTGCAGCCTCCCCTTGGAGCAGTACCGCCCATTCCATTCCTGTGAGTCCTCCACTCTCTGCCCCTTCCTCCCCTCTGCCTTTTTCTTCATTGTCTCTTCCATTCCACGCCTCCTAATCATACTGTTGCCCCGCTTTTATTCCTCTCAATCTCTGGTCCATCCTGCTACCTTCCAATGATTTCTTCCTTCCCTTCCTCTCTTTCTTCCACCAGTCCCTCAGCAACGCACTTTACCATTCCCCTTGCTCCGTGCACAAACTCTCCTCTGCAGGCACCTTCCTTAGGCCTGCGAGCCTCCTCCCTTCTCGGGCAGCTTTCAAAGCTGCCCAAGGACTTCAATTTCACCACGGGCAGCTCTGGAAGGACCGGGCAAGCTGGCTCTTCTCGAGCATACATCTTCAAAGCCAAGGAAGCAGCAGACGGGGAAGACTCTTGAGGCGTCTCAAATGTCTTTTGGGGTATGACTGTACATCTTCACAACTCCAAGGAAGCACCAGAAGAGATGATCTCGTAGCTTGGTAAAAGTAGGTCGCCTTGCACATGCATCTGCTTTGTGGAGAATAGAAACTTCTAGGGATCAGCAGGGCATAATCCTATTTCCTAGAACAAACACCCATGGTGAAAGAGCAATATCGTACCAACGTACCTTCGTACCAATGTACCGTAGGTATGGTATTAATAAAAGTACGGTGACTATAAAAATGCACAAAAGCGTAAATATTTCGAACAACCGTCAAGGCTGTACAAGCCTCATTAGTAGACGATGATGGAAGGTCACCACCAGGGCTTTGATTTGAAATGAAGAGTGTACCAGGGCTATCTATGTTGAACTTACCGTAGAATAACAGGGAAATGGTGGGTTAGGTCAGAAATGGGGGGGGGAAGGGGGGGGGAATACAAAGAGAATGTCGAGAGAAATATTTTACCCCATGTTATCCAATGCACAAGAGGCTAAACTAAGATATGGCATATAACTTTGACACACCCCCATAGCATGAGTAAGATGAAAAATCGACCATGATAAAAATGTGGTCACAAGACCGGTCAAGCAAAGAAGTACCTCAGAGTGGATCTCAAGATCAGTGTGCAGTCGCAGGACCTGGAGGTCCTGCTGGAACCGTGCGCTCAGCTGGCGACGAACAGCACGGATCCAAGGGATCAAGACACTGCGAACATCCGCCTTGCTCCGCAAGGAGAAGACCGCGGTGCAGCGCGTAAAGTCGTCAACAACCAGCAGCGCTTCCGGTCCTGTCTACTTACGCGGGCGGGGCCCCACACGTCCATGTGGAGGGTCTGAAGAGGAGCAGTGGTCGGAGGAAACGAAGAAGAGTGAGGAGCGGCGTGCTGCCGCCCCTCGACGCAGGGAAGGCACGGCGGTGCAGACAACCTCGGGAGCGGGGGCAGGGATCCGGGGAGGCCAGAAACAAGGAGACGGGAGTGCATGCTGCGCAGAGGAGGGGGGGAGGGGTGACCCAGACGGTTGTGTCAGAGGAGAGATGGGTGCGTTAGTTATCGGCACGAGCAAGACGCAGCTAGCTGACCTGAAGCAGCTACCTGATTGGATGCAGCTACCTGTGCAGACTCAGTGGTCAGTATGTACAGGCCAGACCCGGGTCTCTGAGTGAACGTGGCGAGCTGGGCGCCAGTTCGGGAGTCCGTACAAATCGCCACAAGCTCACCCTTATGAGTAGTGGTAGTGACCAACTGGTCCTCGAGGACAGCGTTACTCACCAAGTTCGTAGCGAACGAGGGGAGGTGGGGACTTGAGAGTGAGCCGGAAGGGGCTGCCGGACACGGGAGAACGGTGGAGGCACGTATCAGAGGTCCACTGGTGATCCCCGATTGATCCTAAGGAAGGGTTACAGGCACGTTGGCCCGGGGGGTTATGGGCGCACTCACCCGCTACACAAACAAACCCTTTTATCCCAGTGGTTAGTGGCTGGTATTCTGACATGGTATCAGAGCGAAGGTCTCGGGTTCAAATCCCAGTGTGTGTGCTCCTCGGGCATCCCAGTGCGGGGGGGTGTCAGAGGTCCACTCATGATCCCCGATTGATCCTAGGAAAGGGTTACATGCACGTTGGCCTGGGGGGTTATGGGCGCACTCACCCGCTACACAAACAAGCCCTGGTTGGGATTTTGACAGCACGTGCTACTACTGGGCCCCCAGAGGGGTCAGCCAGAGTGACCGGGACAGGTGTAGTGAGCGGCGTGACTGTGGTGCAGTCGCGGAAGAAGCAGCGACGCGCCTGAGTCAAGTGTGAAGGTGTGCAAAGCCTCGGCAGGAACTGCACTTGTGCTGGCAGGCTCACAGGCACCTAGACTTGCAGTCTCTATACCAGCAGCAGCGGGCACACACGAGTAATAATCACCCTCAAAACTAGCAGAAGCAACATACATTGTATACATGCCAGCATGGATTTGGTCCCAATGAAGAGCAAACACATCTGTTCTTCTTGAGCAAGGCTAATCAGTCAGATGTCTTCAGCTCCGCACCGAACTTCTCGCGATACGCGTCTTCGAACTGAGGCCAGAACTTGGGAAGGCTAGGGTGCCCACTGCCCTTAAATTTTCATGGTTACAAAGTGTATGCACTTTCGTTAAGAATGGACAGATGTGCGCGATTGTAGCCTCATCAACACGTATTAAGTGGCATGTGTGTCAGCTTTCACCCCAATTCATGTGATCACAAAGTAGAATCGAATAATGGATGACTGGCAAGAGCATACAAGGGGGGTATATGAAACGTTCCATACGCTCTATGGTACAACCCTAGTTAGCCTTTAAGTACACATACAAACATGTAAATGTATATGTTGACACACCTAGGCTTGATGAGGTGCCAAGGGGAACAAAATCAACTCAGGGCGGCAGTACCAGTCCGGCAAGAGGCCACAATGTCAGTCATCAAGAACAACAAAGTGTACCGTATAGGTTATAACTATGCGCTGTACTATTAGCCCAGCCTTTGAGATAAACGGGGACACACGGCCAGTCAATGAGTATAACATGTGAGAACAAGTACAAAGTACAGAAAGCAGGATCCTATCATTTGAGGCCCTGTTGTGACAAGGCCAAATAAGTGGAGAACGGTTGGTGATCACAAGGCGAAAGCGCCTTGGTGAAGATATCAACTGTGTTGGCCCCCGAGGCCAAGTAAACTACGCGTGCCTGGCCGCGTTGCTGTAGCTCACGCATCAGGAAGTAATTCAGCTAGATGTGCTTGGCTCTGCCCTCCATCCTAGGCTCCTTGCATAGGAGGATCATTGTCCTGTTATCAGCGAACAGCTCCAGGGCAGGTCTATGCTGTCAAACATTATATATGTTGTGTTAGTTTAGGCTACAGTGGGTTAGCCTATAGGGGGTACACAATTCTAGGGTTAGGTACTTGTACTCATTTTCACTGCTAATTCATCCATTCCTGTTCACTGATTCCAACATGGTATAGAGCAGGTCCTTCCTAGGACCGAAATTTTCTAAGGGCCCACCACTACGTACCTACCTACCTGTGCCCTAGGGCGCCTCGGCGTGTCACGCCCCTAGAGGCCCCTCTTGACGGCCCCGCGCTAGCCCCGTTCAGGCCCCGTCGGCCCCTTTATGGCCCCGTTCAGGCCCCGCGCTAGCCGCGTTCAGGCCCCGTCGGCCCCGTTTCAGGCCCCGTCGGCCCCGCGCTAGCCCCTCTCAGGCCCCGTCGGCCCGCGCTAGCCCCGTTTCAGGCCCCGTCGGCCCCGTTTCAGGCCCCGTCGGCCCCGCGCTAGCCCCTCTCAGGCCCCGTCGGCCCGCGCTAGCCCCGTTTCAGGCCCCGTTGGCCCCGTTTAAGGCCCCGTCGGCCCCGCGCTAGCCCCTCTCAGGCCCCGTCGGCCCGCGCTAGCCCCGTTTCAGGCCCCGTCGGCCCCGCGCTAGCCCCTCTCAAGCCCCGTCGGCCCGCGCTAGCTCCGTTTCAGGCCCCGTCGGCCCCGCGCTAGCCCCTCTCAGGCCCCGTCGGCCCCGCGCTAGCCCCATTCAGGCCCCGATCGGGCCCGCACTAGCCCCGTTTCAGGCCCCGTCGGCCCCGTTTCAGGCCCCGTCGGCCCCGCGCTAGCCCCATTCAGGCCCCGTCGGCCCCTTGCTAGCCCCGTCAAGGCCCCGTTTGGCCCCGCGCTAGCCCCGCTCAGGCCCGGATCGGCCCCGCGCTCGCCCCTCTAGGGCCCCAACCGGCCCCGTGCCGACCTCGCCGACCCGTGCCCACCACTTAGAGGCCCCGGGCGGCCCGTTCCCGCCGCAGCACACGAGGGAGAGCGGGCGGCCCGTCCTCGCCGTGACCCGAGCCGCGCGACCCGAGCCGCGCGCCCCGAGCCGAGCCGCGCGCCCCGAGCCGAGCCGCGCGCCCTGAACCGAGCAGCGCCACCCAGCCGATCCGCGACCCGACCTGAACCGAGCCGCGCCGCCCTGCCCTACCTGGTTCGTCCTACCTGCTTCTCCTACTGCTACTACTGCTATTTCTACTGTTCCTATGGCTAGCCCACAGGTTCTCGTGTTCGATGCTGAGGGCCGCCCTGTGAAGTTTGACACCTGGCTCGATGACCTGCACCTCTACCTACAGCTCACAGCCAAGGATGACATCTCACTGTACGATCACGCCCTAGGCCATGTCACTGCCCCTGCTGCTACTGCTGACAGCACTACTCGCTCACAGTGGCAGACTCGTGATGCCCACGCTCGCTTCGCCATTCGCAACTCCCTGCCGATAGACGAACGCGAGCACTTTGGTCAGCACAAGACTGCACAGGCCCTGTACACAGCTATAGTTGCTCGCTACTCCTCACCTGCCTCTGCCGCACTAGGCCGTCTCTCCCTCCCCTACCTGTTTCCCGACCTGGCCTCCTTTCACACAGTCGCTGACCTCATCACGCACCTCCGTACTAGTGAGGCCCGCTTCCGTGCCGCCATGCCTGCTGAGTTCCTTGCCACGCACCCCCCTCCACTCTGGCTCACTCTCTACCACCTAGTCACCCGCCTCCCTGACACACTGCGTGCTGTCAGGGACCACTTCCTAGCTCGTTGCCCCACTGAGCTCACCATTGCCCTCCTCGAAAAGGAGCTACTTGCAGCTGAGACTAGCATAGTCGCTGTAGGTGCCTCTCGTGGCGACCCCCGTACCCCGTTCTTTGAGGGGTGTTCTCCTTCCCCCCTTCTTCCCTCTGTCGCCTCTGCTGCTGCTGTCGACCTTCTTGGTACTGAGAAGGTCGGCGCTGCGTCTGCCTCGAGCAGACGCCGCAGCGGCAAGGGCAAAGGGGGCAAGGGTGGTGGCGGTGACGGCGGGGGAGGCGGCGGTGGGGGCGGTGGAGGCAGTGGGGGTGGTGGCTCGGCTGGAGGGGCGAGTGGTAGCGGTGGGGGTGGTGGCGGCAGCGGCGGGGGAGGTAGCAGGAGTGGAGGCGGCGGTTGAGGTGGCGGTGGA